ACTCACATTTAATGATCCAACTTTACATGAGTTATTATTTGCAAGCAAGTTAATAAGTAGATTTATAAATAAAAGTACAAATACACGGATATCTTCCACCTTGTTGTAAACCTTGTCTATAAACAAACCATTCAGAACTTGCACCATGTATAAAAACCGAGTCAATAGAGTTTATATAAGATTGACGCAAAATTCTCCAAAATTTCCCTGTAATACCAGCGTCATATATTTGAGCAAATAGTCCATCAATCCAAACTGTGTCATATGCCTTCTTTGGGTCTAAAAATGCAGCAACAATCTTACTTCCATTTTCAACATCATGAGCTCTAGCCTCTTGGAGAAGAAGGGATGAGTGAAGAGAACTACATCTAATCTTATTAGCACCCTGTATCTCTGATATTGCCTGATAACTATGACCATACTTCAATTCCCTCTGAAGTAAAATCTCATCATATAGTTTACACAATGATGATTGAAGTGTTATACGTCTGTAACTATCCTTATTAAGTTTCTTCTTTTTCCTCCATTTATACTGGAATTATAACATCCCGTTTAAAGTTCTTAGGTGAATATTCTTCATTAATCAACACATTAAATAGAAATGCTATAGTTTTAAAAGTTTGATCACCAGCATACAAAAATTGTTCATATGGTACATATCACATGTTGAAGAAAAAATTAGAAATTGATATCCAATAGTCATAACCTCAAAAATAGTTGGAGATACAAGTACTCATACAAGATAGAGCATTCAGTCTCAAATGATGTGGGTTAGATAAAATCCAGTCTCCAAGTCCATAGGTGCTTCAAAGGGTCAACATCCATTCACAAAAGCCGTCGCCATAATCCATAAAACACAATAATTCACAATGGTCATCAGGAAAATACTATGGCTGGTTTTGATCCCTATTTCTCAACCTCTTTGCTCTCACTCTCTCCTCTTCCTCTTTGCCCTCACTCTCTCCTCTTCCTCTTTGCCCTCACTCTCTCCTCTCCCTCTTTGCTCTCACTCTCTCCTCTTCCTCTTTGCCCTCACTCTCTCCTCTTCCTCTTTGCCCTCACTCTCTCCTCTCCCTCTTTGCTCTCCTCTCCCTCTTTGCTCTCCTCTCCCTCTTTGCTCTCCTCTCCCTCTTTGCTCTCCTCTCCCTCTTTGCTCTCACTCTCTCTCGCTCTTAGCTCTCACTCTCTCCTCTCCCTCTTTGCTCTCACTCTCTCTCGCTCTTTGCTCTCACTCTCTCTCGCTCTTTGCTCTCACTCTCTCTCGCTCTTTGCTCTCACTCTCTCTCGCTCTTTGCTCTCACTCTCTCTCGCTCTTTGCTCTCACTCTCTCTCGCTCTTTGCTCTCACTCTCTCCTCTCCCTCTCCTCATCCACTTGATCCCCCTCCTGTAATCAAAAGAAGATACTCATTTTCAGAGTATTAATTATCGGTCTGAATCATTGGTATTGTTTACTCTTTGTGCATTTCTGTTGTGCAGGATCTGGTAGGTTTGCCATCATCTGCCCTCTTATCCATTTTTCAAACCTAGTGAATATAATCTCATAGACAGTGAATGTAATTTTAAATTCAGTCTATTATATAAAATAAATTTTTTTATGACAAACTAAATCTGTCGTTTAAAAACATATTGATATAAAATGACCTAAGCTCACGATGCCCATGACAAGCAGCGTGCCTACTAGGCACGCAGTTTGAAAATCTGACAAACTGCGCGCATATTTCAAAATGTGAGACGGGGAGGACACGACTCCCAAAAAGAGCCAAAATACGAAAAATACAAGGTTAGTCTCGTTCTAAAGATAGTACCATTCTGTGAAGATGAACTTAATTTACTCATAGTACTCAATGTTTTTCCCGATGTTAACCTAGTTATCTCAATATAAGGGTCTTAAATAACTTCTGAGTTGAAAATTTACAGTGTAAAGTTATATCTATGTCTTTTTATCGTCATTTGCCGTTTATTCAGCCATTGTGTCTGTGTATGCTAGAATATATATAGGATCACTCCATCTGATTAAAACAGCAAAGTTTGTGTTCAAAACAATAATACGCCATAAACGTGATTTAAACATTTTTCTTGTCAAACTGCGCGCCTATATTCACATGTATTTCCCAAACTGCGTGCCTAATATTTCAAAACTGCTTGCCTATCCAAGCTTGTATTGTATTATTAGAAAACATAAGCGCCATACAAGGCACATATGTGTCTAATAGTAGAACCCCATAATTGAAACCCTATGAGAGTCCATCCACCAAGATGGTGATCTGAAAATAAATGTTTTTTTCGTTCCCAACTTAATTGTCACTTCTATTATACATTTTGACTTTCAATATGAAAATCTCATAAAATCTGACGATAAAGCAAAATTTCCAAAGCTACATCGAAAACACCTACACGTACCTCTGTAGAAATTCCAGTGATGATATGTAGTTTTAATAGTGTATGCGCACATATTGTAATTTCTGGCTAAAATAGGCGCGCAGTTTGTGGTTTATTTCGTTTTAATCTCCTGATTATCTGTTTTATTTCGAAATATTTTGAATTAAACTATTTTATTACAAAAATAAACATTTTATTACAAAAATAAACTATACAAAAATATGAATCTCCTCTGACATCACTGTTTAAATGGAGTTTCAAATATGAACTCATAAATTACACAAAATAGCTGCTATTCCATTCCGCAACTTTCATTTTGTGATACATTTTGCATTTACTTACTTTATTTACTTATTTACTTAGCCTACATAGCCTATAGCCCTATATAACAGTCATGTTTACCCATGATTGGAAATTAGAATAAAACCGCTCATCATTGTTCAAATAAAGTCCATGTGTCTTCAACCCAATAAAACTTCTACTATCTAGTATTTAGAACTCATTCTACAAATTTTTATTTATTTTGCAATACATTTTGCATTTACTTACTTTATTTACTTATTTACTTAGCCTACATAGCCTATAGCCCTATATAACAGTCATGTTTACCCATGATTGGAAATTAGAATAAAACCGCTCATCATTGTTCAAATAAAGTCCATGTGTCTTCAACCCAATAAAACTTCTACTATCTAGTATTTAAAACTCATTCTACAAATTTTTATTTTGCAATGCATTTTGCATTTATTATAAAACAACTAATCACTGTTGATCAAATGAAAATTCAAATCGCACATCAATGCTAGGATGAAGAAATCTTAGATCAATGTGTCTACAACACAAGTAACTGCAATATACTTGTATATAGATAAAAAAGCGCTATTAGTAAGTCTCTCAATTATCATCTTATATCTCCTTTACCCATGCTTTCTTGTACCTAATTTTTCTTCCTTCCCCTCTTAGGCATTACTTTGTATTTTGAAGTAATGTTTTTCATGTAAATCATGTCACTTGTTGGCATGTATTTTAGCATAGATGTGATGTCATGTATCTTATCTAAAGATAGCTCTGGTTTTTGTTTTATCCTTTCCACTCTGGGCCATTCAATCTTGGAAAGCTTTGTTGGCGTTCCTGCATCATGTTTTCTTGTTGTTGGTCTGATGGATACATCTTCACTATATTCCTGAATGAAGGATGTTTTGTATTCCATGCTATATGGTGAGTTTGACATGTACTTTACATGTTTAACTTTGGTATATGGTATCATGTTAAATCACCAGTTTTTTGCTGGCTTTTTAAAGTCATAGAAGCCCCTTTCTGCCATATTAATGACTTCGTAAGGAAGTAGGGCGTATACAGTCTGCGGACTAAATATGTCCTTATTACTTAGGGCATTTTCAATAATACTGTGCATGCTGTCCACTTCTTGAATACTAGAATGTCCTGGTTCACAGTATTTCTGTGTAATAGTTAGTGCTTTGTTTGGATTGTCTTGCATGTACTTTCTAAGTACATTCTTGATTGCCATACTTAATACAGAGTTTCTGTTTTGGCAGACACATGAATCTGACCATAGCGTTATATGTCGAATTTCCTGGTTCTTTTCAATGACTTCATTCAATATGCATACTATAGCACTTGCTATCTCATTGCTCCCACGCCCACCTTCTGATTCATTCAATACACAACATATTCCGGATTTTCTACCATTTATTTTGACGTGACCTGTGACGTTATACGTAGCTAGTTTTCTTTTGTAGTAAAAACATCCAATGTTGGCTTTTGGGACTGTAATGACATTCTCCAGATCAACACATATAACTGCATGTGTTTCCTCATTTATCAACCTATCTTTATCTCTCTCTGCTTTGGTCGCATCCTTACTTGCTTTATGGTTTGTATATTTTTCGAGAAGTTCATCTCCTATGGTATCATTTCTTTTTTTACATGCGTTGTACTCCTCACATAGGTCACATAAGTCTTTTCGTGGTTGGTGAAATCCCAAATTAAATTCAGAGTTAAAGATATCACGATATACATGGATTTTGACTGGATCAAGTGTTTCTTGGGAGTAGAGGCGATACATTTTTGAGAGACTGAGGGAAGAATCTAGGTATTGACGTTTTGTCTTGGCCCTGCAATAATGGGATTCAACAACAGGGAAAGACTTGATGTGTTTTCTCACTTCATTACGTTTTGCTTCAGGGATAAATCTTTTTCGATGTCTACCTGAGGCAGATCTTTTTGGGATACCACTTTCTGGTTTATTTTCATGGAAATATGAAACTCTTCTAGCCGAAATGTCCAGGGTACTTAAATAGAAGTCTTTGCAAACTCGAACACTTTCATCTTTCACGATGAAAAAATATCTTAATGTAAAGTTTCTCCTAGATTTTTGTTTATTTGTTCTTGTTCTAGTTTTCAATGTTTTCTTCGTAGTTTTGTTGTAAAAATTACATTTCTCATTGTCATTCAACTTCCAAAAGTCACTATGTATTTCTTGTCTTTCTTTCGAGGAAATATTAAGACTGCACTTATATTTACACCTAAGACAATCTTTTCTGTTTTTACTGATTTCCTCAACCTAAATCTACCTTTGGAATCAACATATTCGTGACCCGATTGTCTTAATCTTTTTCTTATATTACACTTCCAATTTTCAATATCCCTTTGTCTTTTCCTGGCCCTAACAGGTGGTACATCCTTTTCATCAGGCATTTAGATTAATTTAATTTTAGTGAGTATAGTCTTAATCTGCTGTCTTGATCCATGTACACTACAAGCTCTTTGCCATGATGTTTATCAACTCATGATTACTACAATAAGAACAATCTCCAGTCTATGTGGGTATATCGGTCTCTGAAGTGCATATTGAACATCGGCAATGTCAGTGTTGGAAACAAACTTAGGCCAAAGTAGTACAGCTTGCCCACAACCTGAGTTGTTGCAAGTATCTCTAAAAATGTAAATTCGATTCCCTGGCAATCGATACAGAATAGATTCTCAAAGCGTTCACGACATAACACGTCCAGAAGTGATATAGCCGTTATACCTGTATGCGATATATATAACTGTTCAATTCTATTGCAATGTCGTATTGCGGTTATGTCGTCTGGTACAAGATTATTGCAGTGCAAAAGACTTAAAATCTCAATATTTGGCAAATGTCGCAGTACTATCAACGTTGACACTGGGCAAAAGTCTAATGATAACCATGTAATATTCTCCCCATTTGTTAAGGTATCAAATATGTAAAAATCAAAGTCAAATACAACTTCTCTATCGAATGAAGTGTTTGTTCCTAGAATGGAAAATTCATCTGAGTCTCTACACTTTTCTTTGATCAACTTTAAGTCGTCCTCATCTAAAGATGTGTTACTTATATTGATAATGCTCCAGTCTATAATTTTTGTAACTTCTTTGAATCGATCTGAAACTTTGCTTAAAGCTAGAAAGTCTGTTGGTTGAAGAAACTCAAATATCTTTTTCAAGAGTTCATTGGGTAAGAATTCTAACATCCTGGAAAACAAAGCATCGGTCTAATTTTAAACTAAAATATCATTCAGTAAAATGATTAAATGTCATATTGTTCTATCTCCAACATGTTTTTTGTAAAATCTTCAATCTGTCTACATACAGACACAACATGGAGAAGTTTATGGTATCAAAATGATCTTTATGATAGAAGATGATACTAGGAATGTAAACTATGGTGAATCAAATATATAAAGGTTCATTAATATGACAAAAACGTTTTTCAAACTTACTTTGTTGTTTTCTTTTTGCCACCATCTTAACTTTTGGTCACATGACAAATTCAACAGATTTCATTGGTCAAGGACATAGGGTAACATAGTATGGAGCAGATTATCAGAAAAGTGGAAATAGAACAGTTTGCCACTTGTTATATATTTATTTAAATAGAGATAGGACATTTTAACATTTAACTTCACAAGAAGTATGTCTCAGAACCATATATCTAACATTATATTACTTTTTGCCGAAATGGACATAGAACATTATAACACTGAGGGGACGATATATGTTGTTGTTTAATTGAAAAAAGTAAAAAATATGAGAAAAAAGTAAAAAATATGAGAAAAAAGCTGACCCCTACATCACTTTGGCCTACTTTTGACCACATTTGATCTACTTTTTTTAAAAATTGAAATACACCTTCCTTGAGAGTTTTAATTGCCCTTCAATATGGTATCTTACTTTTTACAATACCTCTTCAACTTTGGAAACAGCGAGGGGGGTCATCTGTCAATTAGTGTTATGAAAAGTAGGTTGTACACATTAGGGTTAAACAAATACTTTTTGAAAAAACGTGTCTAATTGTGTTAAGATCTAATACACATTTCCGATAAAACGAACCATCTTTTGATCCATCAGAGAAACTATAATTTATTGGCTAAATTGATGATGTTATTGGTTGTAGGTAGCAATCTGTTCATGCAAAAATCGTATTTACTTATTGCCAATTATAAAAAAGTACAACCTATATATATTTTTTTAGTTAAATTTTAGTAGAAGTACTACCAAAATTCAATGTGATGGGTGAAATCTATTTATTCACAAATATAATTTCAAGTGATAATATACAACATCTTGGCAAATTCATATATCATTCATTTAGTAATTTATAATAATCTGCATATTCTGTACACCACACTTTAAAACATTTCAAAAAAATTTTCCTCTTGTATTCTTTAATAATGCATATGAATCTTGAATATTTTCTGTAGGTGTTTTAGTTTAAGTGAGCAATTAAGTAAGGTAAATATTTTAGTGAGTAGTTCTAAGTAATGTAATCATATTATGTCATGTATGTTATGTTATGTAATCAATATGTCAAAAGTTTTTTATTTTTATTTCAGACACTTATGATGCTGCTGTTGCAACAGGTTGTTTTATTAACGCCCATGTGACGAAAGAGTGTTTTCCTGAGTTAACCCGCATCATCAAACCTGGTATGTTATCATTGTTTTATCAATTCTAGATTATCTAATTGAATAATGTCATGACATGAAGCACTTTCTGTAATCTGATCAGACTATAGATTAATCTGTACATTATTTATCATGCCCTCATACAGTATGTGTGATTTAATTGTTAAAATTTAAAACAAAAAAATATCAATTGGAACAAGTGGACAATTACTTCATAACAAATCGTTTCTAGGTCCAATATGAAAAATGCTTCCTTGTCATTACTCTTAAATAATAACGATACATCTTTATGTTGTTTTATTATATAAAAATGACTTTTCAAACTTTGTATATGGTATTTTATTTTTCAAAACATGGAACCTACACAACCCATGGGTGTCTCTTTCATGTCACTGTTAACACGTATTTAGTGCCCCACACACAATTTTGTCGCCGATTTTGATGTGTTGTAGAAAAAGGGAACACCTCCGTCCGTCCGTCCAGGCAATAACTCAAATACCATTTGCCCGATTTGGCCGCTCATTTCAAAATGGCCGCCATTTTAGTGCCGATTTTACAGTAATTTAGGTGCAATATGTAAAACTGTAATAGCAATATGTTTTAAATGTAAAAAAATTATAAAGAACATTAATAAAGCTACAAATGGCAGCCATCTTGAAAAATGGCGACCTTTACTCGTTATTTTACGATTTTTGCTGTAGCTCGAACTTGTTCATATTTGGTATGTGAATGCTATAAGCAGGGCACACTGTCTAATGACACTTTTGGTAGAAGGTTGCCATTTTGAAAAATGGCCGCCACTCTTACATATTTTATTATAACTCGAAAAGTAGTGGAGCGATTTTGTTTATATTTGGTATGTGAATACTAAAAGCTGGCACACTGTCTAATGACACTTTTGGTAGAAGGTTGCCATTTTGAAAAATGGCCGCCACTCTTACATATTTTATTATAACTCGAAAAGTAGTGGAGCGATTTTGTTTATATTTGGTATGTGAATACTAAAAGCTGGCACACTGTCTAATGACACTTTTGGTAGAAGGTGGCAATTTTGAAAAATGGCCCCATTTTAACATATTTTACTATAACTTGAAAAGTAGTTCAGCGATTTTGTTCATATTTGGTATGTTTCATATTTTATATGTGAATACTATAAGCATGGCACTCTGTCTAATGACACTTTGGGTAGTTGGTGGCCATTTTGAAAAATGGCCACCATTTTTACGTTTTTTACTATAACTTGAAAAGTAATGAAGCGATTTTGTTCATATTTGATTTGGATACTCATGAGCCTTGCACACTGTCTCATGACACTTCTGATAGTAGGCGGCCATTTTAAAAAATGGCTGTCATTTTTACATTTTTTACTATAACTCGAACGAACTCCTATGCAGTGTCTCGGTATAGACACTGTGGCGGGCAGACGAAGAAAATCCCAAAAATTTGGGGAAAATAGTTCCCCTTTTCATCATATACGAGGGTTGATCATAAAGTTCTCATAATATCTCTCTAATTTCTTTATTTTTCAATATATTCTACTGAAATTTTCACAGAATGTGCAGCATAGAATGTCTTATTAATTCAGCAAATTTTTTTTAGTTTAATAGAAATATTAAATAAGAAATGGTTGCCATAGTAACGAGAAATCAAGGCACCCGGGGCAAATAAAAAGAATTGAGAGAATGAGCTTAATTAACCATGTTTACATACATAATAAACTCTCATGAATTACGAAACATGTTAAAATGTTAACTTGAATATGTTGTAAAGTGCTTTAACAATTAAATAAATCGATAGTGTAAATTGTATGATGTCAAAGGGGGTGCTTCCATGCTCCATTAGATGTGATACCAGAGTCTGAGACTCAAAGCTTAGGATCAGAAATGACTAAGTAAGAGAATGTGATAGATGCAGAGATCTTCAGAAAAATAAAATTCATACTGATAAAATGTTATGTTAAGTTTGTAAGATCCTCTGGTCAGACTAAACATGATCTAAAACAAATATATTGCTAAGATATCAACAAAATTACACCCTTTGTGTGGTCTGTACATGTTAAAAATGAACTAAAGGGGCAAAATCAATTTTTCTCAGGATATTTGACAAAACAGTCACGGGTCTAAGTCGCTTCTAATGAAGCATAACAATCATCAATTATGAGATCACACAATTCACATGACCATTATAATAGTTCACAACAGCCAAGAGCCCATATTATTTGACAATTTAATGTGTTTGATAGCTCATTTGACAACTTATATTGTATCTAAACAGGATTAATGGGGGCTATTCTAGCTAGTTTTTTTATTTGCCCCGGGTGCCTTGATTTCAAGTTACTATGGCAACCATTTCTTATTTAATATTTCTATTAAATGCTACACATTCTGTAAAAATTTCATAGGAAAATATTGAAAAATAAAGAAATTAGAGAGATATTATGAGAACTTTATGATCAACCCTTGTGTATGTGGTCAATTTTGACACAACTTATAAAATATGTATTCATAAATGTTCCCCAAACATTATTTTGTCAAAATATTTCAAAGTTATTGAAATGTGAGAAGAAATCACCGCGGAAGGAATTCTGAGTAAAAGTTGTGTTGATAATAGTTTACCGCACGTGTTGTTTATTAGTTAATATGCGCAATTCGACCAATGAAATTGTCTAAATTTTACAATCACGCGACCTGAGCATGGGACTAGAACCAATCACATCAGTTGTTTATTATGAAGTTACCATGCTTACGGTGAGATACCTGCCCGCCGCAGTTATATTATCACTGCACGGGAGTTCGCAACTCGAAAAGAAGTGGAGCGATTTTGTTCACATTTGCTATATGAATACTCTAAGCATGGCACATTGTCTAATAAAACTTTTGGGAGTAGTCGGCCATTTTGAAAAATGGCCACCATTTTTATGTGTGTTATTTTACAAGTAAATGTGTGTGATTTTTAAAAAATTTTTTAGGTGGCTACTTAAAAGCATATTATTTCTTCTGATGACAACTTGGCTAGTGAGCAACCATTTTGAAAATGGTGGCCTTTCTGGTGTGTTGTTTTATGATATTTGCTATATATTTGTTTGTAAAAATGCCAGCCATTTCTGTTCGATGGGATTCGCTACGCTTTGGCGTTGCCATTGTTCTGGTTTATATTTAATCTTGCTCGTCAATGTGTAGGGCCTCTTTTGGATTATTTCCCCCTCTCAATTGTATTTATTGGAAACTTATTACAACTAACACTTGGTAAAAACGTAAAAATAATATAGAATAAAATGTTTAATATACTGCTAAATAAGTTGCATTAAGAGAGAATCGTAGAGAATATTTTTTCCTGTATAGTAGGCAGTTATTTGTTGTATTATAGCGGAAAAAAATATAATACGTATTTTGAAGTTTTATTTTTGATTTAATAATATTATTCGTGTATTATTTAAAGGGAACAACATATAATGCCATATAATATAGAATAATATTTTTGTCAGGAGCAAATAATATGTTGGTATTGCAATCAAAAACCGATTATACGCGTTTATTTTCGAGCCGTTAATCCCTAATTATTCAATTCTATGAAATGAGTTTCATTCATACTGATAATTAATCCGTTTGTTAGGGTTAATGGATTAATCTCTACAACTGATGGCTCTTAATTCAACAAAAATAATTTGCAAAATAAGTTTTTACATATATATTTGATTGTATGATGTCCCTCGTGTTATGATTAACATTGTGTTAAATTTTTGGTTC